CGAAACGGTCCTCTCACTGTGGTCATCAAGAAGGTCTAGGCCCTTTCTTGAAAGCTGTGGCACTCCCCTCGGCTCCAGTCGTTCTATGATACTGCAGCAGCGGCAGCGGAGCAAATCACAAGGTCCAAAAAGACCAAAATTCCTCTGGACAGCCGGATCGCAATGGAACAGTGCGTTGCAGATGCTGAAGACGAATTTGGAGCTGTCGCCTGCCATTGACCACTTCCTCAACGAGCTTCCGCAGTCTGATCAGGGCATGCGAAGCTTGAGACTGACTGCTGCAGAGATCGATCTGGCAAAAAAGATTGTCCCATTCCTGGAAGTGTTTGCTTCAGTATCGACGACCCTTGGGGCAGAGAAGTACCTGACGCTGTCGAGTGCTGTCGGAAACAATAATCACCTGTACGACCACCTCAAAGATTATGAGGAGAAAATTCTCAACAAAGATCCTTCAGTTCAGGGTTTGGAGGAACTTCTTCCCGCCATCCAAAAGTGCAAGAAAAAGCTGAACAAGTACTACAAAATGACGGATCACTCGCCGTTGTACACATTGGCTACTGCGTTGGATCCTCAGGTCAAGAATGCATTATGGCGAAAGTGGGATCGAGAAGAGCCAAATGAGAACTATCTTGCTTAAAATACAGCTGTCATGGAGAAAGAATTCGCGCGATACTTGGACCAGCATCGCATAGAGATTTGTTTGGGAGAGGCATTTGCGCCCTGCTCTCCGAGTTGGATGAGAGCGAGCTGTCCTCTGCGTTGGGGGACGTGGAGAAAGAACTGGATCATTACTTTCGAGAACCTCGTATGAAGGCAGGAACATTTTTTTTTTTTATATTGTTCCCGCCCAGAAGGGCCAGCAGGAAGAGAAAGCGCCATCAATGGTGAACTGTTATAGACTACGTCCAGGTATCACCTCAGCAAACCCACCCCATGCACTACAGACTTACAGGGTCGTCAGGCATCTCCACCGCACCACTCCTTGTGATTCAAGGCCATACTCTTTCTTGCCTTCAACAGCTGGTGTGGTGGCTTGAACCCTCGGCCCTTGAGTGACAGATACCCAGACCCCCCATGCTTTCCCAGCTAGGCTCTTGGGGGGGCTATGAACGCAGGAACAGCATCTGACGTATTGAATTACTGGAAGACGGCGGAATCCAGTGGATTCAGGATTCTCCCTTGCATGGCGTGGGACATTCTTGGCATCCCAGCACCTTCTGTTCCTGCTGAACGAGTGTTTTAAGGTTCTCATCGTCTATGCACGTATTTGAGACAGGCCATGGCGCCAACCACTTTCAAAGACACTATGTTCGTCTGGAGCGCAATTACAGGCGCTGCAGACATTTGGTGTTGATTGTATTTTCCAACCTTTTTTACTTTTTTTTTGGATTAGCGCCTTCCTCAATACACAGTTGTCTTGTGTTGTCATTTTGTAGGAGGATGGCCACTTGTGGGGCAGTTGGCCTCGGTGCAGTCTCGAGCTGGGTCCAAGTTGGCCCGAGCCCTCAAGGCCACAGCAGCTGGTCCAAAATCTTTGGACCGGGACCGGGGATTGCCCAGACCGAGGACCGGTCTGTCAGTCTGTCTCAAGACGGGACATTCAGTTTGAATCCTTGTTCACCACACAGCCTGAGCCCTCAAAACAAACACAGTCTGACTCCACGGGCGTGGGCGAGAATCCCACTTTGACCAGTTTCTCCGACCTCAACAGTTGGGAGACCCCAACTGCTTCCTGGTGGACACCTTGGCAGACGTGATGGCTTGCGTCGCTTGATGACTATGATGTTCACATGTTTTGATGGGAGCATGGGGAGCTAGCAGAGCCTCAGGGAATAGGTGCTTTCCAGCAGAGCCAAGCCAGCCGTCAGGCCCAACCAACTTCATCTTCTCAATCAATCAATCAAATCCCAATCTAAGCCATCAGAGAGGCTCTTCTTGGCTGCAGGATGGGGCCAATGGCTTGAGGTAAGATGAACAACTTATGGACATGCAGCATGTGCTGTTTAAGCGCGCTGCATGCATGCAGCCACTGCTGTGCTGGTGTTGAAGTTTCAGGCTAGAGTGGAGTGCGCAGGTTTGGGGTTGGCAAGGAGCTTGGCAAGGAGCGCCTGCCGCCAGCTGGATGAAAATTCAAAATTTGATCCAACCCAAAAAATAAAAATAAAAAATAAAAAAAATAAAAATAAAATAACAATTAAAAAAATGAAAATAAGAACTAAAACAAAACCCCCTCCCAAGGTCCAATCTGACCACCCTGGAGCACCATGATTGCCACAGCACAGCTCAAAAACCTAACCAAGAAAGCAACACCATAGAACATTCTCAAGAGTCAAGCTCGACACTGGCAAGTGGGATTTCTTGCTTTTTGGAGTGGGAGAGGGGGGGCAGGGGAAAACACTCTCTGGCACACAACAGCATGGCCCCAACAGGCACAAGCCCATGGTGGGGATTGAACCCACGATCTCTCCCTTAGGAGGGGAACGCAATACCACTTTGCTACATGGGCCTAGACAGCACATTGACTGTTGTGGATTTTTGCCCTTTTCAGTGCAACTTTCATCAACTTCAGCCATCAAGTTGAGATCATCAGTGCGAAAAAAAAAATAAATAAATAAATAAAAACAAGATAAATGAATGGAAAAATATATATACAGAAAGGGCAGAGGCCCTAACCCAAAATTTTCACCAGAAAATCTCCAAAAAAAGGCATGGATTCCTTGGCTTCCCCAGCTGAATAATGCCAAGTCCGTATCTGCTCCTTGCACAGAGAGGCATCAGGAATCAGAAAAACTGCATTTGGGGGATTGAAATTGAACCCAATTTCCTTCCCAAGTGGACATGCAATGCTTGAATCAGCTGGATATTGCCAGAGGCCAAGCATCCCCCCAGCTGTCCAGCATAAGCAAGGGCAGCACAGCTGAGGAGGATGGGCCAAGGGACCCGTCTGACCAAAACCATGCAAAGAAAAAGGGCACACAGCCAAGACAAACACTGTCCATCTGTACTATTACTTGGGCAAACGAGGCGCCAACACGCTTTGCAAATGAGTCCGTGGCGGTGCTGCTTTGGCAGAGAAAGATTTCTTGCTGTCCCCACATCTCCCAAATCTGTTTCCATCCACCCTCAGAGACAAAATTTGTTCAAAGGGAGTGCAACAGCCGGGAATCGGACCCGGGTCTACCGCGTGGCAGGCGATAATTCTACCACTGAACCACTGTTGCCTGCTGGTGAGGAGACTGAGACTTGTCAAGTCTCTTTGTCAGAGGAAGAGCAGGGTTCCAAGCAAGAATGCTTCTTCTGTTGCTTGCTGCTGCATCCTTCTCGCTGTGGACAAACAAACAAAAAAAAAAAAAAAAAGAACAACAGTCATCCTTATCCGTTTGTGTGTTCGCTTGTGTTGGGTTTTTCACCAAATGCCACCATGCCACAAATGGGCGCTCACCAGCCCAATTCAATTAAGAGTTTGCTTTGTCACACTGATTAAAGTCTGGCACTTCCCACTTTGGCCGCCATAGTACTGGTCGTTTTCATAGAAAAAGGATAATGTCATTTTTGACTGCTAATTTTTTGTTGATGTTCCCTGTTTACTGCTCTACTCAGATATTTGTTTGGAGGCGGATGGCAGCTGTACTGGTGATTTTAAGAGGCGCTTACCTCAATCAACCCTTGTTATGAATCACCCTCTGGAAACCTCTGGAACCTTTTTGAACCTTCCTTCATGGAACCTTGTGGAACCTTCTGGAACCTTCTTTGCTTTCCTGACTTGTCTTGTTGTCATTGGTATCGTTGATATCATTGTATTACTAATTGCTCTTTCTGGAACTTTCTTTGAGTCTTGACAAGGAAGACTCTCAAAAGGTATAAAAGGGGGATGGTGTTTCCAATGTTAGGCGGAACTGACTGGTTTGCAGCAAGAGGCACAAGACGGACCCGAACCTATTGTGACTGTCAGTTATTGCTCTCACGATGCCCATGGAAGAGCAAGCCACCACCAATGTAGACCTGGGCGCTGGCTTGCGCTGATGACAAATACTCTGAGTATTAAGTGGAACAGAAACCTGGTGTCAACAGTTTTCCTCCTCCTCTGCCCAAGCAGACAATATAGAAGAGGTTTTTACCCTGTGCCTGTCACGCTTGCCAAGCAACTATTACAGTGTGTATATCATCATCATGTATCAATAATTCAAAACAGAGTTTTTCTCCTTTCTCTCCAAGTTGGGGAGAAGGACCACCCACAAACACACATCTCCACTTCATTCACTCCTTCCACTCAATCACTCAGAGTAAACTGTTTACATCCAATACAAGCACCACTCCTCTCAGTTCCTTGCCTGCCTTGTCCTGTCCTGCCCTGTTCCTGACAACCCTCAATGAGGTCAGACTTCCAAAAGGCGGTGGGCTCATGTCAGTCGTTGCTGTGGCCAGTGCAAGGCGGATTTTGTTGGCCTTGCAGGTTCCATCAACTTGACAAACTCGAATATGCTGCAGTTCCGCTGCTCTGACATTCCTTTCACCCTTTTCTCACTCTGCACCTCATTGTCAGGGTCCCCCCTCTGAGAGTCAGTGGAACTGCGAAGTTCAGGAATATGGCAGGACAGGCAAAGGCAGACAAGAAACTGAGAGGAGCGATGATTGTATTGAAAACAATTATTCACAAGGATGGGACAGGTCCCACATCCCCACTTTTATACTTTTTGAGAGTCTTTCTTGCCAAAACTCAAAGAAAGTTCCAGAAAGAACAATTAATAATACAACGATACCAAGGATCAATGATACCAATGACAACACCAAGACAAGTCAGAAAGGCAAAGAAGGTTCCAGAAAGTTCCACAAGTTCCAGAAGGTTCCAGAGGTGATTCATAACATGAAGAGTGGGACAGCAGGCTACAAGCATAAAATTGACTTTATTGGCTTGTGTGTGTGGGCGTTCTGACTGAACCAGCAACCTGTCAGTCATCTTACGAAGAAATATTTTATTGGGTGATGTAACAAAAAAAAAGGCCTTCTTAGCTCAGCTGGCAGAGCGTATCCCTCGTATGCGGCCGCTTGGCTACTGCAAGGATAAGGTCGTCGGTCCGATTCCGGCAGAAGGCATCTACCTTCCGCTCTCCTTTGTAATGGAAGCCGATACTGGGGTAGCAACGCTGTACGTTTTATGGTTTTTTCGTGGAACTGATTTGAGAGCGCACAAGCACGATTTGGAATTATCACCAGTTCTGTTTCTTTCCGCAAAGACTGTGACTGATGTGTGTCGATCAGGGGGGTAATGTGTTCGGGACAGCGTATAACTTTTTATTTAGGAGAGTGTACGGTGATACGTGGTACATGGCAGATTGCGAAGCAAATTGCTGATAATCCAGCCGGGCTACTGTTGGGGTGCAGCCCAAATGCAGGTAGAACTGCCTGGCGAGGGTCGATGGAGAAGTTTCGGTCCACGGCCTGAGCGTTGAAGCGGCTTGCACGGGAGTGCCGGCGGCGAAGAGGTCTTGCGGCCGTCACGGAGGACGGCGGAGATGTAGGTGCCTCGCCGACTCGACGCCGTACACGGGAGGCGGCAAATGGCGAGGCTCTTTTGCGCCCGGCAACGGCGACGACGGCGGCAGCGAGCGGGAGCCACCGCACAGCGCGACTCTGTCGGCCGCATTGAGCAGCAGCACAAGCAGCGGCGTGTACAGCGTGAGGCGCAGATGGTCGCCCGGTGGCAGCAGCTGTCGTGGCGGAGGTCGCCGAGGCAGGTGTGCGGCAGACGACACCGGGCAGGTGCCGCTGGACCTTTTTTCCATCTGAACAACGAAGGAGGGGAAGTAAATAAGCCGTCCCGGACTGCTGTATCGAGTGATCGCTGAAGCTTGGCACAGTGTGGCAACGACAAAAACTACGGCGGAGAACGATCAGAATCCGACTTTTCTACCCTCGCGTCGTGCACCCCTGCCCGCTGCTGCTCAATTACAGCACCATCTTCTCCCCTTCCTCCACAGTGGTCGTTTGACTGTTTGCCGCTCCACTCCTTTCGTCTCCGTGTCTCTCTTGGAGGAATTCTTGCCGAGTTCCTCTTATCATACTGGCAGCGAGCCGTTCAAAAGAAAAAAAAAATTAAAGGAAGAGACACTCAAGCGGGGATCGTCGTCAAACCGGCACTTGCGGGGGAGCGCCTGTTTGTGCGGCGCAGAGAACGGCGCAAACCGTTTTTCGCGCGCGTATCGTGTACGAGGGTGACTGGAGAGTGAAGGAGGGGGAATTCTTCGAGTTTATATATGGCAAACACTTCACGGTAAAGCCAAGTGACTCTCTGGGAAACCACCAACTGTCTCCGTCCCTCGTCAAGTTCCTTCTCAGAATCCTTATTGCGCGCGGCGTCCCAAAATTGGATCTTGTACTTTTTCCCCGACACCAGTGTGGGAGGGTGTGTCGAATGTGATGACAAGGACCCCCATCGCCCCCAACCACTGTTGCCCCCCTTTGCCGCGCCACTCTGCATGCATACTGCCCCACGGACGAGATCTTAGCTTCCAAGGGACTCACTCGCGTGCAGACTCTACAAGATTCAGTGTTGGCAACCTTTGTACCTCATGCCTCTCCGGACTTCAGGCGAAACGAGTCGTAACATCAATGCTGGTTCCGGCAGACGTTGGTTCTTCGGTGGCCACCAACAAGCGAGAGGATGCTGAACGAGGAGAGACCACCAACATAACGAAGAGAATGAAGGGAAAACAGCCAGCCTCATCTTCTGCTAGCACAGAGACGTCAGCAGACGCTCCCCAAAGACGCGGCCCTCATCTCTTTGAGTTTGATTGTTGTTGAAGCACATTCCTGTGCATCTTCCACTGTAGAGTTTGGATTGGTCATCAAAGCGGGTGAAGATCCCACTGTGGATGACGTTGTTGTGGCCGTTGCACGAGGTTTGGTGGCGGGTGGAGTTCCATGACAGAGAGCTGGTGTACACGAAATGGAAGCAGTTTCCGTTGACGGGTTCAACACTGCCTCACACTTCAACTTTGATCCAACTGCGTTCCAAAGGATATCAACGAACTCGTCCACTTCCGAGCACTCAATGTGAACTGTGAGAGTGGGCTGGACCAAGCTCTGATGAATAAACAGGCGGAACGATCCAATCTCGCCAGTCAAGGAAACTGACCGAAAAGGCACGAGTGGACCCAGCGCAGGAAATGCAACGGTGGTGAATACGCTGGTTTGGGCGCGAGACTTAGTCCCAACAAAGGAGCATTTGGGTCGCTTCATTCTATTCAACAACGTGACTGCACGAAAGGAACAGCTCTCGCTATCGGAAATCACAGTAGCTGTTCTCCATAACTGGAAAGACCTCTCGATTGTTACCTTCGTTGATGTCCATTCCAATGTAGTGTCAAACGCATCTTTGTGGAGCCTGATGGAGCGCACGCTCCTGACACCCACCCTGAAGGACCGGTCGGGCGCGGCCAATAACCTAGCTGTTTTGGATTACAAGAAACTGAAACGAATCCATGGTAGCCACTACACTGCCCACTATATTGATTGGTATTTATGGGCAAATTACATCGCAATGCAGCATGCAGGGGATCGCGATAGGGTATTGAACGAGGCACCACCGAGTCATTTAATTCATCTTTTCCGACGGTGCGCGGATTCGAGCGACCAAAGGCTGAGGAGGACCTTGGATGACGTAGCAGTTGCGCAGACCATCAGCTCGAGGGTTCAGTCGCAAACAGCAGACTTGCAACTGGCCGTCGACGCTTTGAGGTCGGAAATAGCTGCCCTTGCCGAAAAATTCGTCCAAACTGTCCTAACGAAATTCCGCGATTTAGACAATCGAATCGCCGCAATGGAGAAGGGTGGAGAGTTCGACTCTCATCTTAATTTTTTCCATCGAGATGTGATTTCCCCTGCAATTCCTTTTCAGTACTATGGCTGACTCATGCACTATTTGACTTCCTCTCCATACTTCGTCAATACGCCTGACCCGTTTCAGTACTCTTTCTTGCAGTACTTATCTCATGCAGTATTTGACTTTCTTCTTTCGGTTTCCCGATTACGGAAGTGGCGCGGCTGCTCTCGTCTTAACAGTCTGCTCCCCAGGAACGCCCCCTATTTAATTCTCACACAACCCCTCCCGCCCTTTGAAACAACCCAAACCATACCTGAAGTCCCAATCAGATTTCCGTAAGTGGAACACAACAACATCAAATAAAACGTTCACACACCCTTCATTTTCGTTTGGATTCAGTGGTTTCTTCGAACCCGAGCTCACTCAAGTCCTGACTTAATCCCCTGTGCGGATCAAACATACAGTTTTGGATGAACCGGCACTTTGAAAAGATATTTTTCACCGAGTAGGTTGCAAATTCAGCTAGAACCGTCGCTATTTCGATGGTATAGTCGGGTTTTGCCTTTTCTGTGTAGATCCGCTCCAACTTCTTCTTGACGAGGTTGAACAGAACTTCAATGGGATTGAAAAATGGGCAATACGCTGGAAGAAACAGCGGAATAATCCCGAGACTGCGTAAATAATGGACAATATTTGGGTGGCAATGGAGTGCGGCTCCATCTATAATCCAAACAGAGTGGCGACCAGGGTACCGATGAACTGACTTGTTTTTTGTTGCGACTTCAGAAAGGCACTCCAGGAATTTTTGTCGCGTGAAGGTTCCTTCAGTCATGCAGTCGTCAACCAGGCCATCAAATCCAACAAAGCAAAGAACTGAAACGTGAGGCACCTTGAGCGGCAAGGATCTGGGCCTGTCTGTTGCGCGTTCGGCCCTTGCGGCCGCGGGCGGCGCTGGGCACACAAACGTTCTCGCTTGGTGGAGCACGTGCCCGCTCATCCTCTGCGCGGGCGCGGGGACCTTCGACTGGACTATCCTGAACGGTGCGATCGAGCAAGCGTGTGCGAACGGACACATTGAGGTTTTGAAGTGGTGCCGTGACTACCTCCCTGAAGAGTTTGCGGTCCCTCAGGCCGCTCTTAATGCAGCCGCGAAAGCAAATCAAGTGAATGTGATTCGATGGTGCGAGGACAACGGCACCCCGATCGAAGCCATCTTTCGAGTTGACTTTGCTGATGAAGGGCTGCAATTGGATCATATTGCCCGAAGACTCAATGCAGGTCTGCCCATGGATCACTCGATGCACACATTTGAATTTGCATGTAAATTCAGCCAAATACAAGTATTGCGCTGCTGCGCGATCAAGGCTGTCGGATGGAGTGGATCAGGCTGAAGGAATACGCCTGTACAATGGGAAGAGTCCAAGTTCTGCAGTGGTGGAAGGAGGAAACTCAAAGTGCAGCGGATCCTACAACCTTCTACTCTACAGACGCCTATCGAATAGGACATTTGGAGGTTCTGCGCTTTCTGTTTGATAACGACCTTCAACGCGATCCCTCTGTGCCTTCGCTTTGCGCGGCTGCAGCGATGGGACGAGTCGCTGTGTTTGAGTTGCTCGAGGAGAAGGGTTTCAGAGTCAAAGTCTGTGGCGAATTGCCAGCAATGGTAACAGCGGCAAGTCGGGTAACATTTCTCCAGTGGTTCAAAGACAATGGGTATTCTATGGAATGACCGAACCGATTGCGACTGGTGGAAAAACAGTGAGATCGAATTTGTCTACAACCCGCGAGGAGTGATTTATTGGAGTCGCACAAGTCGAAACGTTCTCGAGTGGTGGTACCGGAGCGGACTCGACGTTGCATGGCCCGCAAAGCTCCAGCTACCGCGTGTTCTGACAGCTCAGTTTCCTGACGATGCCGCTCATGGTCCTGACAAAATCGACGCACTCCAATGGTGGCTGGATAAAATGCCCGACCGCCTTCCTCCGAAAGTCCGACCGTTTCGGTTTGTGAAAGCCGATGCGAGTGAACCACCGGGTCGGCCTGCTGTTGAAATCCAGGATTTGGAGTGGTGGAGACGATTCGATTTTGCTCTCCCCCTTCCGTGGAAAGTGCGATCGCAGAAACGACGACGCGGCGAACGCGCTGGCCGAGTACCGGCGGTACGCGTCGACCAGGTAGACGTTGAGCGTCTGGAACGGAACGGCGAACGCGAACCCAAACATCATAATGCCAATGTCCGGGACCAGGCAGTGGACACGCTCGTGCGCGGACC